GGGCTTATGGAAATGAGAGAATAAGGTTGATCTCTACTGGAAAAGTAACTGCTAGGTAATGAGCAAGAACAAAGAGTCAAGTACAGAATTCCAAGAAACTATGAAGCCTGAGATGCTTATTTCTGAACTGATCAATCAAATTATAAGATTAGATGTACACAGCAGCATTCTACTTAAAGGTGAAAATTACGAATAGCTGAGTGAATGTATGCGTGACAACAAGTCACAGAAAATAGCACAACAGGGTACTCAGACTCTAAAGGAACCATCTCCTACTTTTTAGCCACCCCTCTACCAACCTACATTTGTGGCCTAATGAGACATTCCTTGTGACTCAAGCAGGAAAAATATGGATTGCATTTATAAATAGATGTGTGGCATATTGAGCCTCCTGCAAGAGGAAGAGGGAACCTACTGTACTACAACTTCATCAAAAGGGTAAGCCTGGAAGACTGGGAAATGGAAATCTTTCCAACTGGCTTTAGAAATTTAGATGATATATCTTGTTTGCAATGGCTATTTGGTTATCTGGATTTTCTGTGATTTAGAAATAACAAACTTGAGCCAGACATTGGTGTCTGATGACTGTTATCCTAGCTACTTGGGAGGCTGAGATCTAAGGATTGTGGTTCAAAGCTAACCTGGGCAAGAAAAGTCCATAAAACTCTTATCTCCAGTTAAGTACCAAAAGATAGATGTGGAGTTGTGGCTCAAGTGTTAGAGCACTAGCCTTCACCAAACAAGCTCAAGGATAGTGCCCAGGCCCGAAGTTCAAGCCCCAGTACTGGCACACACATACAGAAAAAAAAAAGAAATTACAAACTTGGAAATTGATGACAAAGAAGTCTGGAGAAGTATGTGAATGGACCTTTCACCTGGTGGACAGAATACCTTGGGGGATTTTGCATGTATGTGTATTTGTTTGCTTGTTGGAGATAGGGTCGTTCTATGTAGGCCAAACCAGCCTTGAACTTTCAATCTGCCTTCCTTAGCTCCCTGGGTGTTGGAATTGCAGGTATGGGCCACCACACTCAATTGGTTTGCAGTAGTAGTGTGAAAGAGAAACCAGAGATTCAAAGCACAAAGATATAATGTGTCACTGTCACCTTTCAGATGCAATATACCATATAGCAAGGAATGTGCACAGCCTTTTGTACCTGGAGCTGCCACACTCAGACACCTCAGCAAGAACCAAAAATAAAAATGACCTCAAAAATATTTGTGAGATTGGATTTTCTCCAGTGGAGTAAAATCCAGGGCAATTTAAATATTATTTACAAGATTCTTAAAATTGCATCTACAGAAATACTGCCAGCTTGGAATGAAAGAGAAAAGAGCACAAAATGAAAGGAAAACATCAGATTCTCAAATTCTTCTGGTGGAAAACAGCCTCAAAATGTTTAGTGAGTGACGGGCACCAGTGGCTCACACCTGTAATCCTAGCTACTCAGGAGGCTGAGATCTGAGGATCGCAGTTCAAAGCCAGCCTGGGCAGGAAAGTCCGTGAGACTCTCTTATCTCCAATAAATCACCAGAAAACTGGAAGTGGCACTGTGGCTCAAGCGGTAGAGTGCTTGCCTTGAGCTGAAGAGTGCAAGGACAGTGCCCAAACCCAGAGTTCAAACCCCAGGACCGCCAAAAAATATATTTAGTGAAAAAAACAATAGTCAGAGAGTTCAAAGGTGAGACTCCAGAAGACAGAAGCAAAACAGATAGAGAAACTGAGAGCCGTAGATGATGACTCTTAGGTCTTTAAACCCAGGAAATGCACATTTTGAACCAGTTATCCCCTTTTTCTTCTATTTTACAATTTGTCTATAACTGTTGTGTCTGTGTAATCATCACACATTGGCAGTTTTGTGGGAATAATTTTTACAGGAATGGTGCTTTCAGCAGCATTGCTTAATGGATTATGCATAAGTGTCTTATACACATTAAGTTTAGATTATTCAGATGATGATATTTTAAGTTTTAAGATGCTGTTGTTAATGGGTGAAACTATTGAGAGTCTTGGGAAGAGTGGGAGGTGTTTTGTGAATGACATAAATTTTGTAGACCAAAAGGTAGACTGTGACAGATGGAATCCTAAAATGTCTTTCCCCCAAATTACTGGCCCATTGTATATACATACCTTCTAATCACCAATTATCCTTCTAGATGTTGCTATGAAGAGACTTCTCAGATATAGCTAAGGCTAAGGTCTTAAATTATCTTGATCTTAACAAGAACATTATGTGAGTAATGTGGGTACTTCTGATATCATCCTCATGATATCATCCTTAAAAATAGTCTCAGAGAGAAAGAGAGAGATTAGAATCATGAGCATCATTGTTGTCTTTATCCAGTGACTATTAAAAATAGCTACATAATAAGGAATGCAAATAGCCTCTAGTTTCCAAAACCAGCAAAATAATGTCTATTAAATCCTATAACTTCAGGGAACTGACTTGTGAAAATAACGTGAATGATCTTAAAAGTAGATATACTTTAGGCTTCAGGAAGCCTCCACATGACAATATGTTCTGCTTGACATCTTGAATCTGATGATACTTTGAGCAGAGAATGAAATTGTCTTGCCAAACTTGTGACATGCATGCTCATAAGATAATGAATAAGTATTTGGTAAGGGTAAGTTATTTATTATGCTATAGTAAATCATTATATCATGAAACAAAAATATCTTTACTATCTATATTCTTCATGAATTATTGATTTATAGACTTATTCCCCAAATCTTCTCATCATTAATTTTCCACTTTTTTTCCCTCCAACTCTTCTGATATGCCAGTCATTTGGCAATTCCTTATGAGATAGTAGATTTACACCTTCAGCCATAAGGTTTACACAAACTGGACACCCATAGGAACCATAGAAAATCCTACTGACTGGTAGCATGTCATTTCCATTATTTCTCTGGATTATCTCTGAAACTATAGTGAAGCATTGATCATTTGTATTTACTATCAATATATCAACAGGTATATCCATAAGTTGGGCCATTGTTTTTATCCTTCATCTTAAAAACTACTTGTGAGGATAAGAAACTTTCCATATGGCCAAATTATACATATATATATATATGTATATGTATATATATACATATATATAACATCTGTAATGTATAATATTATATATGGAGAAAGAAAATATTAGCTTTCCATTACTGGCCCAAATACCTGAGATAAATCAATTTATAAAGAGGAAGGTATATTTTGGCTCACAATTTTAGAGGTTTCAGTTCATAATTGGCCCCATTACTTTGAGCCTGTGGAGACATCATACTTCATGGTAGGAGAATATAGGAAAGGTGGTTCTTTCACCTTATGATCAGGAGTGGAAAAGAAGGACAAGAGGAGGCTAGTACCCAATTACCCTCTTCAAGCCATAATGACCATAAAGATCTCATTCTAGGCTTCACTTCTTAAGGTATACCAATTGTTGTGGTAACTTAAAACTTTTATCAGGGGGCTGGGAAGGTGGCTCAGTGGTAGAGCGCTTGCCTTGCATGCCAGAGGCCTTGGGTTCGATTCCTCAGCACCACATAAGCAAAAAGAAAAAAACCGGAAGTGGCACTGTGGCTCAAGTGGTAGAGCACTAGCCTTGAGCAGAAGAGCAGAGGGACAATGCCCAGGCCCAGAGTTTAGGCCCCACGACCGGACTCCCCCCCCTCAAAAAAAAAACGTTTATCAGTAAAGAGCTTGGGAGTAAGGACACAATGTCCAGCAGACATTGCAATACCCTGGAGAGAGTGGCATGTAACACTAAGCTGCCTAGATGTGTTCCAGAACACAGGGGTCAGACTTCCCCCTAGTGGCTGATTCCATCTACACTCCTTCCACTGCATAGGAATGCCCACTGAAGGCCATTTTATGACAAAATAATCACATTGTGGCATGTCACCTGATTTACTGGCCAGTACTGTGAGGCTACTGTTATTGCCATTTTAAGACTGACCTTTGCAGGTATGGATGTATTCTTCTATATATGAGTTCTATGTAAATTTCTCTATTGATGCTAATTTTACTTACATTTCAACAATGGGAATTTTAAGAATTTTCATTGTCCTCATTTCTCACTTAACAGTACAATTGCTTATCACGTGTTGTTTTCTTATTTTAATTTTAAAAAGATTATGGCAAACATACCCATATCATTTAGGAAAAAGTGGGAATGACTGAGCCAAAAAAAATAGAGTAAAAGAAAAAGAATCATACATAGGGGAGGCATTGAATGGTAGAGTACTCAATAGAAGGGGCAGCAATGTCCACTTATCTGGCTATACCTAGGGAAGTTCTGGAGTGGGCACATGGCAGAAGAATGGCATGGTAGGGGCTGGGAAGATGGCTCAGTGGTAGAGCGCTTGCCTTGCATGCCTGAGGCCCTGGGTTCCATTCCTCAGCACCACATAAGCCAAAAGAAAAAAGCCAGAAGTGGCACTGTGGCTCAAGTGGTAGAGAGCTAGCCTTGAGCTGAAGAGCTGAGGGACAATGCCCAGGCCCAGAGTTCAGGCCCTACGACCAGACCCAAAAAAAAAAAAAAAAAGAATGGCATGGTAGCATGCCACCATTAAGTGGTCAGATTCACTTTGAAGTCTGAGATCTTTTCTGGTCATGGAGTAGGAACATCCATTAACTTCTCTTTAGTGCACACATTTTTGCAATTTCCTTTCTGCACAAATGCCTTGTGCAAATATCTTTACATAGTTACAAAAGTGGGCTGACACTGAATCTGTGCTTCTGCAAACTGTTTTCTTTATTGTTACTTTATAATGTACCATGAACATATTTTCCACATGTATAGGTAAAAATCCTGTACTAAAAGAGAGAGCACTATACTTGAGTCAAAAGGCTGCTGGTAAGGACAGTGACACCTAATACAAATTGTGAGCTTAAGGAAATGCATAGTGTGCACAGTTCTCATCAGAGAAGTCAGAATCTAAGGCCAAGGGAATTAAAGGTAGGGAATATAGTGTAAACCTCTTTGGCCTCTCCCTCTGCCCCTCAATCCCCTGACACCCCGTTGGGCCCTCGGGGTGAATGTATCCTGCGCATCTCTTTGCATCCAGTGACATTCTTCCATTTTGTTTTTGTTTTCGTTTTTTCCTTAGCTCTTCCTGAGCCCTGGACGTATCAGCACACTCTCTCATCATCTCCTCACTGCTCAGATGCCTGTCCTGTAAGTCCTCCCGAGAGTTCTTGGGAGAGTCATCCGTGGTCCCGCGGTCGGTTTTTCTTTTTGCTTTCCGGGGCACGTAATCTTCAGCCAGACGCTTTTCAGCTGCGCGTGTCTCGCTGGCTGCCTTGGCCTGGGGCTCTGCCTTGCCCTCACCTGGTGGCTGGCCCTCATCTTCTGACGACTTTCCCTGCTTCCCTGACTTGTCCTCATCCCGGGGGTGGCCCTCCTCCTTTGGCCCTCCCTCACCCTCCAGCTGGCCCTCCCGTGCTGCCTTCCCCTCCTCTTCTTGATTCCCTTCTTCCTCCGACTTTCCTTCAGCCTCAGGTTCTACTTCATCGTCTGACTTTCCCTCCTTGTCCAGCTTGCCCTCGTTTTCGCTAGGGAGTTTCTCCATGTCGCGATGGCGCCTCCTTTTCCTGACCTGGAGGGTAGGGGTGAGGGAAGAGGAGACACGAAGAGTGAGGGCTCCTCCAGCGTGGAAAAGGGTTCAGATAATCTGTGTATCTCGTCCCAATGGGGGTCTCCAAGTGCCCTCCTACCTGCCCCTAACCCACATTTTCCCCCACACGAGCCAACCATTCCCAGGCTGTCTGGCCCTGTTGCCCTCTCCTTGCTCCCTCAGTACAGCTAGGTGTGTGCATTACAGGTGGGGGTCGGGGACAAGCAGCGAAACCCACATCCTGCCCTGGCCAGGCCCTCCGTACTCTCAGCCCTCCGGAGTCCCTGTCCATGCTGCCACCTTCCACTGACCTGCAGAGATCAGGACAGGTTGTGCCTCCTTTTCAGGCCTGGCACAGCGCAGGGAACAGCAGACGCGCAGACCTGCAGACAGACAGACGGGACACTTGGACCAGGTTCCTCTCCAGAATCCGGACCCTGCTCACCGAGCTTTCCCTCTGCTCCCCTCCATCCACCCTCAGCCCCCACCAGCGCACCCCAGCCGCCATTTCTTCTCAGGCCCTGGGCTCCAAACCAGGATGCTTTCCAAACTACCTCTGGATCTGTGTCCCCTCCCTCCCCAGAGGCGCCTTGCCCCGCCCCCACTGCCTTTGGGTTGGGATCAATTTGTCTTCTTGGGCAGGCGCAGAGCGCGAGGGGAGGGGGGTTGTTTCCAGAACGCGTCTACGTTTTCACCGTCGCACTGCAGGGCGCACCCCCCACCCCCTTGCCTACTCTAAAATGGATGGAGGGGTGGGGGTGGGCAAGGCAGCTGAGCCTCCGCAGGGTTCGCCTTCCCGCCCTGTCACCCCTCCGCAGCTGCCCTGCCCGCTCAGTGCCCCTCTCCTCACCAGTCTAGCTGATTCCTTCCCCACCCGGTTGCAGCAGCTGCTGCTCCTGCATCCAGCTGCCATCCACCTCCACCCCTGACCTGGTCAGCTGGCAGTGTAGTGTCCGCCTCCACACTAACCTGAGGGGACCCAGGACAGGCCTGCGCCTCCTTGGGCTGAAAAGTGGCCTGACCAGCTGGGGCAGCAGGTGCGTATCTAAGTGGTTTTGGGGTACAGGATAGGACCTTAGAGTTGGCGGGCACCTAGGCTGGTGCTTTTGGAGGCATCACGCCAGTCACATGAGCATCGCCTTACCGGAGCTCAATATCACCTCCACCCTGTCGCTCTCCACCACACTCCCCCCCACTCCCATGGGTAGGAAATGGAAGGCTGGGAACAACTGAGGGGACTAAAGCGAGAAATACTGGACTCACTGAGGAGGGGAAAATTTCCTGACCCCAAGTGCTTCACTGGCATATCTTACAGCATCTTCTGTGAGACTACCTCTAGGTGCTCTATTCTCACCTGGTGTGTAGCCAACTTTACGAGGACTCCCCTCAGCTGCTAAGTTCCACAATCATTTTCAAAATGAACTCTGCCTACATAACATGACTATGATGACTGGCTAAAATGATTGAGTGGCCTAGGAACCCAGGGTTCTGCCCTTAGCTTCCTCCTTAGTTCATACTTGTTCTCTCCCTGAGTGATCTTGTTTCATTTCCTTCTAAACATCCATGAGTTCTCCAATCTCATGCCTCACTTACCAACTGCCTTTGAGATATCACTGAGTGACTCTTCAGGACCTTGAAGTCTATGTAAGCCTATCTGGTCTCACCAGCTTTCTTCTTGCCATTTCTTTTGGCCTCTCTTGGAACCTGCATCTTACCCTCCAGTAATTGACCTGTTTTCATAGAGGAAGAATGTCAGACAGTTAACAAAGAAAATGTTATCTCAAGTGTAGCTTCATCATAACCCTTAATCTAAAACTCATGGTTGACTCTTGTTTTCTTTGTTTCTGTTTCCTTCTTTTGGCTTTTATTTTCTTTTACATTTGTGAAAACATCACCCAACTCAAAGAAAATTGCCAGTATTATAGTTTTTACAGTGTAATACTATCTGTCTATCTATCTATCTATCTATCTATCTATCTATCTATCTATCTATCTATCTATCTATCTATCTATCTATCTATCTATTTATCTATCTATCTCTGGCTTTGACAACATGGCTTTCATGTTTGTTTTTTAATCTCTGAGTTTATCCTGTTTGGAGTCAATTGAACTTCTTGGATATATAAATTAGTAATTTGAGTAATTTTCAGCATTTATTTAAATATTTTTCTTGTCTTTTTATTTGTTTCAGTTTTCCCTATTGAATTTTGTTAATATGCTTGGTAAAGCCCTCCCCCAACCCCCTCTTGGACTCTGTTAGCATTTTCCCACATTCTTTTTATTCCCTGATCCTCAGGTTGGATATTCTCATCTAAATTACCTTCAATTTCATGGATTTTCCCCCTGCTCTACTCTGGTGCTGTGTTTCTCTAGTAAGTATTTCATTTCAGTGATTGTAATTCTCAAGTGTAGAATCTATTTTTTGGGGGGAGGGTCCGGTCATGGGGCCTGAACTCTGGGCCTGGGCATTGTCCCTCAGCTCTTCAGCTCAAGGCTAGCACTCTACCACTTGAGCCACAGCGCCAGTTCCAGCTTTTTTCTTTTTGCTTATGTGGTGCTGAGGAATCGAACCCAGGGCCTCAGGCATGCAAGGCAAGCGCTCTACCACTGAGCCACCTTCCCAACCCTAGAATCTATTTTTTGTCTTGCTATTTCTATTTCTCCTCTTATATTCTGTATAAGACACAGGCTTGTCTTGAACTGGTGATCCTCTTGAGTGCTGGAATTATAGTCATTTTCCATTTCCAAGCTCTTTATAGTTTGGAACAATTTTGATTTCCTTTCATGGAAGAGCCCATTGTTTCCTTTTTATGTATCTTAAACTTTTGTTGCAATTTATATATTTTGTTTATAATGTATTCACCTTTGAAATCAGCCTGGCCCCTCTCGTTGTTGGTCAGTGTTGTGGGTTATTGTTTGCTTGTTTTGTGTGTGTGTGTTTTTTTAAAATCTATTTTCTTTGCCAAATAAGGTTATTGAAGTCTTTTTTTAATTAGTTTATCATCTTCTGTTTAAGCACACTTACTTTAATTCCTCCTACTCTGTACAGATGAGTTTTGAATTTGGACTTTTTGAGCCATGGCTCCACATTTGGCTTTTTGTTGATTAACTGGAGATAAGATGCTCATGGACCTTTCTGCTTAGGCTACATTCAAATTGCAATTCTCAGATCTCATCTCAGCCTCATGAGTAACTAGGATTACAGGCATGAGCCACAAGCATCTAGCTTGATTTGCTTTTGTGGTTTTTTTGTTTGTTTGTTTTTTTGAGACATGGTTTCCCTATGAAGCCTAATCTGGCTGTGGAATCGTTATCCTCCTGCCCCAGCCTCCTGAGTACTAGGATAATAGATATGTACCACTGTGCCTGGATTATGGTATTTAAAAATAGTTTATTATTATGTATACTTGAAAGTCAGCTTTAAGTGAATGCTTGGGTCTTCTGAAGTCCCAATCTACACTGTCTCTTGATTCCCCAGAGTATGCAAAAGTTTTGCTAAGTGGATATTCATCCACATATGTCTTTTTTCCAAACTCTTCCTTCCCAGGGCTTTTAGTTGATTTATTGCTATCCTGGTGTCCCAGAAGGATGTGGCCAATACTTTGGATTTAAATACTTTGACAAAAAGCCAATCAAGAAGTCAATACAGCTCCAGCACTGGGAGAGCTCCCAATATGGTACAATAAATGGAAGCCACAGTGCATATCCTTGAGGGATCTTCCAGGCATGGTGTAACCATAATTCTATGAAAATACATCCACCTCTCTACCTTCTGATAATAACAATCAGAAACAGGACAGTGGGTTGCTATCAACAGATTACTGCCAATCTGGGGCATGGTAAGTAGACAATTTAAAATTTCTCACCATAGAGAATCAGCTTATTTTTTTCTGCTATGTTTCTCTTTGATTGCTGTAATTTTTTCTTTCTTTCTCTCTTTTTTGCTTTCCATTTTCCTTCTTTCTTTTATTGTTGCTATATTTCAGAGTTCTGAAATTTGTTTCTGATAGTGTTTGCTAGTTCATGAATTATTTATCACACAGCCTTGGAGTTCTATATTCTATTTCCCAGTGATATTACTTGTCTTTCTATTGTTCTCTCTGTGTGTGCATGTATGTGTTTGTTTAGAGTGCATGTGTGCACACCAGTCCTGGGACTTGAACTCTGAGCCTACATACTGTTCCTTTTGTGTTCAAGGTTAGGGCTGGCTCTACCACTTAAGTCACAGCCTACTTCTGGCTTTTGATGGTTAATTGAAAATAAGAGTGTCACTGACTTTCCTGCCTGTGCTGGCTTCAAACTGTGATCCTCAGGTCTCAACTTACTGAGTAGATAGTTTTACAGGTGTGAGCCACTAGTGCCCAGCTTCTGTTCCTTTTTAGAGTCAATTTTGTAGGAATATATCTTCCTTGGAATTTTTCCATTTCACTTACTCAACTTTATTTGTTGATATATAGTTGTACATAGTATTATTCCATGATACTATTTGTATCTACAGGTTTAGGGCTGATGTCTCCTCTTTAATTGTGACTTTATTAATTTCAGTCTACAGCTTTCTTCTTTGTTAGTTCTGCTTTAGAAATACATATTTGTAAGGAACTTTAAGTTTCATTGATATTATATCTTGTGCTTTATTATTTCCAATCATTATCACTTCTTTTTTCTGATAATTAATTTTAGTTGCTGTCCTTCTAGCTCTTTTTTACAAATGGGAGTTCATTGGTATTTATTAATGCAAGCATTTTATCTAAGCACTGCTTAATTTTATATCATAAATTTTGAAGTATTCTGCTTTTGTTTTTTAACATATTTTCTAATGTAGCTCATGATTTTTTAAGGTTAAATGGGAGTGTACTCTTAAATTTGAATGAATTTAGAATATTGAAATTTCCTTATGTTTGAATACTAATTTAGTTGTATTCTGATAAAAAATATTATTTAACTTCAGTCTTTTT